TTGTAGTTTTTGCACACAGATCGCAGTAAACCCAACAAGGCTAAAGAAGCCGACTGCCTGTGCAGGTTGGGTGACGTCTACGTCGAGCGAGGTAAGCGGACAGGAGAAGGTAGGAAATTCACACAGGCGGCAGCTCTGTATAACGCCTCCATGGCCAGAACACATGGAGAAAAACAAAACTTGGTAACAAAAATGCAAGAAACAGTCAGGCAGTTTCTTAGAAACACATGTTACCTAGACTGTGAACCGTCCCCGTATAGCAGCGCGTTAGATCACAGAAAGGAACTGGACAACTTGCGCGCACGTGCAAAATCTCAGCTCGAAACAATTCATCAGGAACACAACCCTTATCAGTATGATGAAGACGATCCCGTCGTGAGAGAGGTAGAGATCAAACGAGCTGAAGCAATCAAGAACTTGTTCAAGAGCATCACAGTTGAAAGACGAGAGTTCATCCAAGTACTGACAGATGAATGCATCGCCAAACTCGGACCTCCTCCCTGTAAGTACGCTTTCATCGGTATGGGGTCACAAGCCACAGAACTGGTGACGCCGTACTCCGACCTGGAGTTCGCCATTCTGACTGAGGAGGGGAAGGATGATGATGATACACGGAGGTACCTCATAAATCTCACACACTACTTACATCTCAAAGTCATCAACCTTGGGGAAACCATCCTCCCAGCTATGGCCATCCCGTCACTCAACGACTTTCTCTCAGAAGACCCAAAGAAAGTCTGGTTCTACGACTCAGTGACACCTCGCGGCTTCGCCTTCGACGGCTTCATGCCATGGGCTTCTAAGACTCCGTTTGGAAGAGACGAAACCAAAAGCAAACCTCCCGTTAGTCTCATCCAGACTCCTGCCAAGTTGGCCAAGTATCAGTATATCAGAATAGCTCTGGCGGAGGGCTATCACCTGTCAGACATCCTCAGACGGGTGACCTACTTAACAGGGGACGAGTCTTTGGTAGAGGAGTATACATGCATTGTCAACAAAAGTGTAGACCGTTCCCCTGCTCTGTCACGGTTCTCAGCAATGCAAATACTGAAGGATAACATTCGGGAAATAAAAAACGTTGAACCAACCGACCAACTTCTAGATGTGAAGAAGGAAATCTACCGTTTTCCCAGCGTGGCTGTTGATGTGTTGAGTATTTGCTGTGGTATCACGACCCCCAGTGTGTGGGGAATGATAGAAGAGTTACACAAGACACAGCGGATCAGTGACGAAGATGCCCACCACTTGACTGTACTGATCAGCATCTCAGCGGAGCTACGGCTAAGAACGTACATTGCCAACGGAGGACAGAAGGACAGACTGTCTCCTCTCACGGAGATGAAAGTCCAACTGGACAAACATGACATAGATGACACGGTCGTTGAGTCAGTTTTCCACATACCGGACTCTAAAATGTTGTTCAGGTACTACTGTACAGCCTTTCCATTAAAAATATGTATTATGGACACAGTTCAAACGGAAAATCAAACAACAAAGATATTCCCAACTGCCATCTTTGACAACTCGTCTCAAACCAGGGGGCAAATAGCAAAACAGCTGTTGCAGTTTGAGGCATCCGTACGTCACTTTGAGGCAGCACTGAAAGAGGCCGGTGGTGACGAGGAAAACCAGTTTGAAATACTTTTTGCGTTAGGCAATGTCACTTACAGTCGCGGTGACTATGACACAGCGATCAGCTACTACAAACAGGCACTTAGCATTGGAAATACTATTCATGCAGCCACCGAAAAACGTCCCGTACTTTCCTCGTTACTTGGAAACATCGGGAACTGTTGGAGCGGCCTTGGCGATCAGAGAAAAGCTATTAGTTATTACGAACAGTCACTGAAGATGCGGAAAGCTATATATGGCGAAACAACGCCACATCCCGACATTGCGGCATCAATAAACAACATTGGGAACTGTTTGAGTCACCTTGGTGATCAGACGAAAGCTATTACCTATAACGAACAGTCACTTAAGATGAAGAAAGCTATCTATGGCGAAACAACGCCACATCCCGACATTGCTTCATCACTAAACAACATTGGAAACTGTTGGAGTGACCTTGGTGATCAGAGGAAAGCTATCAGTTATTATGAACAGTCACTGAAGATGAGCAAGACTATCTATGGCGAAACAACGCCACATTCCGATATTGCTAAATCACTACACAACATTGGGGTATGTTGGAAACAGCTCGGTGACCACAGTAAAGCCATGAAGTATTACCAAGAGTCATTGAATATGATGAAAGTTACCTATAGGGACAATCCTGCACATCCCAACATTGCAACAGTACTGAACAATATTAGACTATGTAAAAGTGCCCTCCACGAGTAGAGTAAAGCCGTTAGTAGTTATAGCAAAGCGTCACTCAGGATTAGTTAACTGTGGAGACACTACTGAACACCTCCAACCTGCCTTACCATATCATGTCATTACATAGCCATATTGCTTACAAAATGTATACTCGGTATGGTGGCTTCTATTACATAACAGGAATTTTAGGAAGCTACCAAATGTACTTTCCAGAATGTAGCATAGTATGATATTATGTAACTTACATGTACAGTCTTTGGTGGGATTCCTACACTTGAGCAGCTATTTATGCTTTTCCGATATGTCCTATATCTAAAGTCAGGGACTTCATGTCTATATTGTACAAATGAATAAAGGAAAAAATTCTTGTATTGTTTCTGAGTAAGCTCAATGGAGCGAGAGAGTGAATGAGTGAGTGAGTGAGTGAGTGAGTGGGTGAGTGAGTGAGTGAGTGGGTAAGTGAGTGAGTGAGTGAGTGAGTGAGTGGGTGAGTGAGTGGGTGAGTGGGTAGCCCCTCCACACACCATACGCTATATCTACACACATATCAGCCACACCCATAGTTGTCTATGGAGGGCTGTTGAGGACTAGTAACTGCCGCATCTCCAATCAGGTATCACGAACAGTCACTGAAGATGATTAAAGCTATCTATGGCGAAACAACTCCAAATCCCGACATTGCTGGATCACTGTACAATTGAGCAAACAGAATACAGGATGATGGTTGACAGGTTGTAGCCCCCCCCCCCTCGACACATAATACGCTATATCTACATACATATCAGCCACACCCATAGTTGTCTATTGAAGAATGTTGAGGACTAATATATATAACTGCCGCATCTACTCGTGACGAATCTATTCATTAACACATACAGCAGAAGTAAAATCTTGAGCAAACAGAATACAGGATGATGGTTGACAGGTTGTAGCCCCTCCACACACAATACGCTATATCTACATACATATCAGCCACATCCATAGTTGTCTATTGAGGAATGTTGAGAACTAATATATATAACTGCCGCATCTACCGTGAATCGTGACGAATCTTTTCATTACCACATACAGCAGAAGTAAAATCTTGAGCAAACAGAATACAGGATGATGGTTGACAGGTTGTAGCCCCTCCACACACAATACGCTATATCTACATACATATCAGCCACATCCATAGTTGTCTATTGAGGACTGTTAAGGACTAGTAACTGCCGCATCTACCGTGAATCGTGACGAATCTTTTCATTACCACATACAGCAGAAGTAAAATCTTGAGCAAACAGAATACAGGATGATGGTTGACAGGTTGTAGCCCCTCCACACACAATACGCTATATCTGCATACATATCAGCCACACCCATAGTTGTCTACTGAGGACTGTTCGGGACTTGTAACAACCGCATCTGCCATTAATCGTGCCGATCTAGAAGTGGTTATACTGTGTCGTAGCGCCATCTAGCAGGTGCCTGCGGAATGACATGATCAGCACCAAGGACAGCACCAGCCCTACCCTTATGTGCGTTCTTCCCAGCAGACAATGATGACATGATAGGTCTTGTTTTTCCACAATGTTTTTAATACCACACAGAGCAGAAATAAAATGTTTCGGGTGTGTGAAAAACTCCGTAAGGCGAACGCCAAGGGCAGGAGGTACGGACTAGCCCTTGCGGAGACTGGCTATCGGACTGCACAGCACATAATAATAGAGTAGAGTAGACCTTTCGGCGAATAGGGAATTCTTGTGTTTAGTTGGGGTCACTCACCACACAATGTACTGTAACTCCCGATTGTACAAATATGGCCTAAGGTATACCAGCGGGGTTTCCCGAACACGAGACCACATAAAAGACCCAACATGGTAGCAAGATCTTATATCAAAGACAACACTGGACCTAATTTTGGCACCTAAAGTTGCAGTGGTGGCGACGAAAAACCAGGCTACCTCGGAGACTGTGTTAAACATATGCATGAAAGTGGCCCTGGCCTGAACACTTAAGGCTTAGGCACGTACGCAGGTTACCTGATATGTTTACGGACACGGGTATTTCCGAACCTTTTGTGTATTGAACCTCTGACCTTTGTATTGGCGGATGACGTAATGTTGACACAAGCAGTGTGAAACCTGTGCCTGTTGAAGTCGGACGCATAAAGCTAGTACGGAGACCGTGAAGACAAGGAGTTTTTGGGACATTTTGTGGCAGAAAGTCGCCATGTTGCGGGTGTGTGAGAAACTCCGTGAGGCGGACGAGAAGGGCAGGAGGTACGGACTAGCCCGGGCGGAGACAGGCTACCTCCGTGCCCTGGTGGACGCCATGGCCGACACGGACAGGCTGGCGGAAGTGGAGCTGCTCAAAACTCTGGGCGACGTGAACGTGGAGAAGGGAAGACTCGGCAAGGACGTGGGGAAGTTCAACGCAGCCTTGGCGCTTTACATTGCTGCTATGGTGCGGTGTTACCATGAAGAACAGGCAGATGGTATAGAACACCGCTACAACTACACAGAGAGGCTTTTACAAGGGGTGTCGTCACAGGGTAAGGAACACCCAACTGAAGACAAGGAGACGACTACACCTGCAAAGGTGGCGGCAAAGTTTCATGCATTGGACAAGAGACGGGCTACCGGAGGTAACACAGACTCTTTGCTGGTTGGATACGCACAGGTGATGGTAGAGGCAATAGTAAACGACAACAGCATGTTAGAAACAGAAGCGATCAAGAGTCTGGGTGACGTGTACCTGAAAAGAGGAACAGAAACTGGAGACACTAGAGACTTGACCAGAGCTACTGCTCTGTACAACAGGGCACTGGCGCGGTGTCACAACGTTCATGGAACAGTTGTCATTGTTCACCGATTACTGCACACCGCAAAAATCAGGCATGACATCAACACAACAAGGAACATGGTGAGTGAACTATTTTAACTTGAGCATGACGGAACTCGCTAGTGCTTACTTCCGGGTTTCCACTCTGTTTGTTTACTTACCTCCATGAATCCCGTCATGCATTTCGCACCACCAATGGTAAAATGGCTTATCATGTAGCTAATTGCCCTAGAATAATACCAGCTTCCTGTAATAATTAATTCCCTTCATTGCTTAATTCAACAAACGTATGGGTGGAGTTTGCACTGTAATTTTAGTACAAAAGTGTAATAAGTTGTGAATCGAATATACGTGTATTTTTGGTCGATGGGTATGTACGTCTTGAAAATAGGATGGAACGTGTCATATTTCGCAGCTGTAATTAAATGATGTGCAAAAAAGCATCCAATCATTACATTTTATATTCCCCTCCAAATACTCAGTATTCAACATAGACTCAGTTTGGTCTTCCAGGGGTCATGTCAGATCATTTACCTTTATCCTTTGGTTAAAGCTCTTTTTGTGGTTTACATGACCACCTGTTAATCATACATAACGTTACTTCTTCTTATGGTTCTTGCAGAGGGCAACACGTACGCAAAAACAACAAGACGCGAGAGGACGGAAGGGCCACTTCTCTCCCTTCTCAGCTGCGCCCTCTAGCGACGGAACCGCCAGTCAAGTTGACGATGACTTGTCAGTGTTTCTATATTTCCTTGTCTATTATATATAAAGATTTTGAATTAACTCATTAATAAACATGAATGTGGCGTCATTTGGCATTTTGTTGAGTGTAAAGTAAAGCATTATACAACCAAGCAAATAAACGCTAATGCGTCGTTTTGTGACGTTGTTGATAAAGAAAACGTTGTTAAAATTTATGTACTGATAATAAGAGAATGCTTGGTCTACTATACAGTGTATTCTATGTTTCTATGTTAACGCTTTGTGGTGCATTTGTCGCCTTTGTGTAGTACGTTAATGTGTAGTACGTTAATGTGTTTCAAAACAACGTTTCTTTCCCTGTTCAGATCCTACCGCAGGTACATCCAGACGGCAGACCGTGACGTGGGAAATGGAGACCTGGACGCAGCAGAGCAGAACCTAGCAGCCGCCCTGAAACTGGTTCACGGTCTGTTATCATAACTTTTTATTCGTACATAATATAATCTTAAGTCTTGTCTTAATTTTCCATTGACAGTTTAATTAGCTTATTTTCCCGCCAGACTTTGTTTTGAATTCAATTAAGGTGCACAACTTTGCTTTTATCTGATCTTTTCAAAATCCTACCCACAGATCGCAGTAAACCGAACAAGGCCAAAGAAGCCGACTGTCTGTGCAGGTTGGGTGACGTCTACGTCGAGCGAGGTAAGCGGACAGGAGAAGGTAGGAAATTCACACAGGCGGCAGCTCTGTATAACGCCTCCATGGCCAGAACAGATCTAGATGGTGCACGTGACCAACAAAACATGGTAACGAAACTGCAAGAAACAGAAAGGCAATTTCTTAGAAACACCTGTAACCTTGACTGTGAACCGTGCCCGTATAGCAGCGCGTTAGATCACAGAAATGAACTGGGCAACTTGCGCGCCCGTGCAAAATCTCAGCTCGAAACAATTCATCAGGAACACAACCCTTATCAGTATGATGAAGACGATCCCGTCGTGAGAGAGGTAGAGATCAAACGAGCTGAAGCAATCAAGAACTTGTTCAAGAGCATCACAGTTGAAAGACGAGAGTTTATCCAAGTACTGACAGATGAATGCATCGCCAAACTGGGACCTCCTCCCTGTAACTACGCTTTCATCGGGCTGGGGTCACAGGCCACAGAACTGGTGACGCCGTACTCCGACCTGGAGTTCTCAATTCTGACTGAGGAGGGGAAGGATGATGATGATACACGGAGGTACCTCATAAATCTCACACACTACTTACATCTGAAAGTCATCAACCTTGGGGAAACCATCCTCCCAGCCATGGCCATCCCGTCACTCAACGACTTTCTCTCAGAAGACCCAGAGAAAGACTGGTTCTTCGACTCCGTCACACCTCGCGGCTTCGCCTTCGACGGGTTCATGCCATGGGCTTCGAAGACTCCGTTTGGAAGAGACAGAACTAAAACCAAAGATCCCGTTAGTCTCATCCAGACTCCTGCCGAGTTGGCTAAATATCAGCATCTGCACATCGCCCTAGCGGAAGGCTATCACCTGTCAGACATCCTCAGACGGGTGGCCTACTTAACAGGGGACGAGTCTTTGGTGGAAGATTATGTGAACAGAGTCAACAAAAGTGTAGACCGTTCCCCTGTTCTGTCGCGATTGTCAGCAATGCTGATACTGAATGATAATATTCGACAAATAGAAAACGTTCAACCAACGGCGCAACTTCTGGACGTGAAGAAGGAAATTTACCGTTTTCCCAGCGTGGCCGTTGATGTGTTGAGTGTTTGCTGTGGTATCACGATCCCCAGTGTGTGGGAAATGATAGAAGAGTTACACAAGACACAGAGGATCAGTGACAAAGATGCACACCACTTGACTGTACTGATCAGCATCTCAGCGGAGCTACGGTTAAGAACGTACAATGCCAACGGAGGACAGAAGGACAGACTGTCTCCTCTCACGGAGATGAAAGTCCAACTGGACGAACATGACGTAGATGACACTATCGTTGAGTCAGTTTTCCACATACCAAACTCTAAAATGTTGTTCAGGTACTGCTATACAGCCATGCCATTAAAAAGATGCATTGTAGTTACAGTTGAAAAGGATAATCGAACAGCAAAGATATTCCCAACTGCCATTTTTGACAACTCATCTCAAACCAGGGGTCTTATAACACAACAGCTGTGGCAGTTAGACGCATCCATACGTCACTTCGAGGCAGCACTGGAAGAAGCGGGTGGTGACGAAGAAAAGCAGTTTGACATACTTTTTGGGTTAGGCAGTGTCTCACACAGTCGCGGTGACTATGAGAAAGCGAAGAGCTACTATGAACGGGCACTGAGCGCTGGAAATAATATCTATGCAGGCACCGAAATGCCTCCAGAATTTTACTCATTACTAAACAACATTGGGAACTGTTGGAGTGACCTTGGTATTCAGAGGAAAGCTATCAGTTATCACGAACAATCACTGAAGATGGGGAAAGCTATCTATGGTGAAACAACGCCACATCCAGACATTGCTTCATCACTAAACAACATTGGTAACTGTTGGAGTGGCCTTGGTGATCAGAGGAAAGCTATTAGTTATTACGAACAGTCACTGAAGATGAGGAAAGCTATCTATGGGGAAACAGCGCCACATCCTGACATTGCATCATCACTAAACAACATTGGGGTATGTTGGACAGACCTTGGTGATCAGAGGAAAGCTATCAGTTATTACGAACAGTCACTGAAGATGAGGAAAGCTATCTATGGGGAAACAACACCACATCCCGACATTGCTTCTTCACTCAACAACATCGGGAAGTGTTGGAGTGACCTCGGTAATCAGAGGAGAGCTATCAGTTATTACGAACAGTCATTAAAGATGACGAAAGCTATCTATGGCGAAAAAGCGCCACATCCTGACATTGCTTCAACACTAAACAACATTGGGGTATGTTGGACAAACCTTGGTGATCAGAGAAAAGCTATCAGTTATTACGAACAGTCACTGAAGATGATGAAAGCTATCTATGGTGAAACAACGCCACATCCCGACATTGCTAAATCACTAAACAACATCGGGACATGTTGGAGTCTCCTTGGTGATCAGAGGAAAGCTATCAGTTATTACGAACAGTCACTGAAGATGAAGAAAGCTATGTATGGCGAAACAACGCCACATCCCCACATTGCGTCATCACTAAACAACATTGGGGCATGCTGGAGTGACCTTGGTGATAAGGGGAAAGCTATCAGTTATCACGAACAGTCCCTGAAGATGAGGAAAGCTATCTATGGCGAAACAACGCCACATCCCGACGTTGCGTTATCACTAAACAACATTGGGACATGTTGGAGTCGTCTTGGTGATCAGAGAAAAGCTATCAGTTATTACGAACAGTCACTGAAGATGAGGAAAGCTATCTATGGCAAAACAACGCCACATCCCGACATTGCGTCATCACTACACAACATCGGGGCATGTTGGCATGAATTCGGTGATCACAGTAAAGCCATGCAGTATTACCAACAGTCTTTGAATATGATGAAATCCGGGGACAATCCGGCACATCCCATCATTGCAATAGTACTAGACAACATTAGATCATGTAAAAGTGCCCTCCACGAGTAGAGTAAAGCCGTTAGTAATAGTAGTTATAGCAAATCGTCACTCAGGACTAGCTAACTATGGAGACACTACTGAACACCTCCACTCTGCCTTGCCATATCATGTCATTACATAGCTATACTGCTCACAAAATGTATACTCGGTATGGTGGCTTCTATTACATAACAGGAATTCTAGGAAACTACCAAATACACTTTCCAGAATGGAGCATAGTATGATAGTATATAAGTTTCATGTACAGTCTTTGGTGGGATTCCTACACATAAGCAGCGATTTATGCTTTTCTGATATGTCCTATATCTCGGTATGGTGGCTGATCACTGGAGAAAGCATTTTGAGTGTCTCTTAAATTCAGTTGATAACCGGGCTCACAAGCCACCTGTGATGTCTGCTATGTCACGTACATGTGAATTTGATTATGATATGCAAATTACTGTGTTGGAACTTGTTAACATCATTAAGGAATTGCCCAATGGGAAGGCTGTTGGCTCTGATGGTATTTGTAATGAACATTTCAAGTATGCGGGCCCAAGAATTTGTATTTATCTTTCATTGTTATTGACATCTGTTATTGTTCACAATTTTATTCCTGATATTTTGTTGGATACCATCATTGTGCCTGTCATTAAGAACAAATCAGGTAATATCTCCAGTAGTGATAACTATAGACCAATTGCCATCACCTCTGCACTTTCCAAGGTCTTGGAGTCGCTGTTACTTAGTCGCCTTAAACCCTTCCTTCAGACATCTGACTACCAGTTTGGATTTAAACCCAAGCATGGTATTGATATGTGTGTTTTTACTCTGAAGGAAATTATTGAATATTACAAGGGACTGGGATCTCCCGTATTCGTTTGTTTTATGGACGCCTCCACGGCCTTTGATCGTGTGAACCACTGGCTCTTGTTTAAAAAGCTTCTTGAAAGGAATGTACCGTTATACCTTGTGAGACTTCTGGTCTATTGGTATGAGAACCAGACCATGTGTGTAAGATGGGGTTCTACTTTGTCAACCCGGTTCACTGTCTCCAATGGGGTACGACAAGGCAGCCTTTTGTCGCCTCATCTATTTAACATCTATATTGATGATCTTAGTCTAAAACTGAAAAATGCCAGAGTTGGCTGTCGCGTCGGCGGTTTTATTGTAAACCATCTGCTGTATGCCGATGATCTGTGCTTGATTTGCCCCAGTGTTAAATCCCTTCAGAAACTGGTTGAGATATGTGAACATTTTGGTAAGGAAAATGATATTTTGTTTAACACAAATAAAACTTGTTGTATGTACTTCCCGAGCGCTGGCCTTCCACTCCAGCAGCCTCTGCCCGCCGTGAAAATTTATAATGTTGAGTTGAAATATGTGGATTCTTTTGAATATCTTGGTATTCATTTAAATGCGAAGTTAAGTGACAATGACTGTGTTCGAGCTGAAATTAGACGCCTATATCGCCATACCAATTGTATAAATCGCAAATTCTATCATTGTTCGCCCGTTGTGAAGAAGACTTTGTTTATGTCCTACTGTTCTCAGTTGTTTGGAGTCCAGTTATGGAACTCTGTTCATGCGAGTGTACTAGCTAAGTGTCGTGTTGCATACAATAATTGCTTTCGTATTCTCCTTAAGTTGCCAAGAGGTTGTAGTGCCAGTTCAATGTTTGTACACCTCTCGACCGATACATTCGATGCTAGACGCAGGAAATTGTGTTATGCTTTCATTAATAGAATGTACGCCACCAACAATAGCATTATATGCTGTCTTTTGAGATCAGACTGCCAATTCAGGAACACGTATTTTAAAAATGTATATAGATTGTTGTGTGTTTAGTGTCTATGTGGTCCTTGTCTGTACTATGGGTTTTTTCCTGAAATAAAGTCATTCATCATCATCATCTAAAGTCAGGGACTACATGTCTATACTGTACAAATGAATAAAGGAAAAAAAGTCTTGTATTGTTTCTGAGTAAGCTCAATGGAGCGAGAGAGTGAGTGAGTGAGTGAGTGAGTGAGTGAGTGAGTGAGTGAGTGAGTGAGTGAGAGAGAGTGAGTGAGTGAGTGAGTGTGTGAGTGAGTGAGCGAGTGTGTGAGTGAGTGAGTGAGTGAGAGAGAGTGAGTGAGTGAGTGAGTGTGTGAGTGAGTGTGTGAGTGAGTGAGTGAGTGAGTGAGTGAGTGAGTGAGTGAGTGAGTGAACAGAAGTTATGGATGATGAAAGATGTGGATTATCAGCATCACGATGGTATTGAATGAGCCGGTGATTCTCACCATGGCAACAACAGCGACGGTAAGAAGGCAGGTTCATAGCAACAGCACAAAACCATCAAAAAGATTTGTTTTTTATTAACTAATGCGGTGATACCTATCTACTGGACTACTGGTATGTACAATTGAGCAAACAAAATACAGGATGATGGTTGTACCACCCCCCCTACACACAATACGCTATTTCTAGTGTCTATTGAGGACTGTCTATTGTCTATTGAGGACTGTTGAGGACTAATAACTCACTCACTAGGTTTACCATATAGATCACATGTCAGCTCTGATCATCTATCCAGCCTTGGCTGGAAAGATCTGTCTTCACGTCGTCATATGCATCTCCTACAAACTGTACGAAAGTCGATAAACAACCAGTTGCCAGAGTACCTAGACATCTTTAACCGTACCCTAGAAACCCACAACTACTCCACCCGACACAGTGTGAACCAGTCCCTGCGACTTCCTAAAGCTAGGTTGGAATGTGGCAAGAGAACGTTTGCTTATCGAGGTGCAGTGGGCTGGAATAAACTCCCACCCGGTGTTAGAACTGCACCGTCGATACAGACATTCAGAACAATGTATGCTCAGTTGTGACCTCTGACTTCCCTCCCTTATTACGACCTGGCATGACCCCGATTACGAGTAATGGATCACGATTATGATTTTGTTTTTGGTGTAAATATTGTTGTATTTCCGTGTATATATGTGTGTCGTACCCAGGGCCACTCTGAAAAGTAGTGCTATGACACTGAGTAGTGCCACCCTGGTAAAAGAATACAGAAATGAATAAATAACTGCCGCATCTACCGTGACTCGTGACGAATCTTTTCATTACCACATACAGCAGAAGTAAAATCTTGAGCAAACAGAATACAGAATGATGGTTGACAGGTTGTAGCCCCTCCACACACAGTACGCTATATCTACATACATATCAGCCACACCCATAGTTGTCTATTGGGGAATGTTGATGACTAATATATGCTGCATCTGACGTGACTCGTGACGAATCTTTTCATTACCACATACAGCAGAAGTAAAATCTTGAGCAAACAGAATACAGGGTGATGGTTGACAGGTTGTAGCCCCTCCACACACAATACGCTATATCTACATACATATCAGCCACACCCATAGTTGTCTATTGAGGACTGTTGAGGACTAGTAACTGCCGCATCTCCAATCAGGTATCACGAACAGTCACTGAAGATGATGAAAGCTATCTATGGCGAAACAACGCCACATCCCGACATTGCTGGATCACTGTACAATTGAGCAGACAGAATACAGGATGATGGGTGTACGCCCCCCCCCACCCCACACACACAATACCCTATATCTAAGTACATATCAGCCACTCCTATAGTTGTCTATTGAGGACCGTTGAGGACTAATAACTGCTGCATCTGCCGTAAATCGTACCGATCTAGCAGTGGCTATACTGTGTTGAAGCGCCATCTAGCAGGTGCCTGCGGAATGACATGATCAGCACCAAGGACAGCACCAGCTTTATCCTTATGTGGGTTCTTCCCAGCAGACAATGATGACATAATAGTCCTTGTTTTTTTTCCACAATCTTTTTAATACCACACAGAGCAGTAGTAAAATGTTTCGGGTGTGTGAAAAACTGCGTAAGGCGAACGCCAAGGGCAGGAGGTACGGACTAGCCCTTGCGGAGACTGGCTATCGGACTGCACAGTACATAATAATAGAGTAGAGTAGACCTTTCGGCGAATAGGGGAATTCTTGTGTTTAGTTGGGGTCACTCACCACACCAATGTACTGTAATTCCCGATTGTACAAATAAGGCCTAAGGTATACCAGAGGGGTTTCCCGAACACGAGACCACATAAAAGACCCAACATAGTAAAAAAAAAAGATTAACGGCTTTTGGTCGCAAATGTGTGATGTTGACACATTCGCGGACCAAATCCGTAGGGTCGTTTTTACACCCAGTTAGACAATTAGCCTAAGAGGCTCGGTGGGCGTCACTCCACCATACATGGTGAGGAAGTCGTATAAAGTGCCTTTCCCAAGGGCACAACGTCGGGTCACGGTGACTATCGAACCCGTGACCTCTCGGTTCCAAGTCCAACGGTCTAACCGTTGCGCCACCGACGCCACGACATGGTAGAAAGATCTTATTAAAGACGACACTGGACCTGATTTAAACTGTGAAACTGGGAAACTGGGAAACTGTGTTAAACATATGCATGAAAGTGGCCCTGGCCTGAACACTTAAGGCATAGGCACGTACGCATGTTACCTGATATGTTTACAGTTTACGGGTATTTCCGAACCTTTTGTGTATTGAACCTCTGACCTTTGTATTGGCGGATGACGTAATGTTGACACAAGCAGTGTGAAACCTGTGCCTGTTCGAGTCAGGCGCATAATTTTAACACGGAGACCGTGAAGACATTTGACATTTTGTAGCAGAAAGTCGCCATGTTGCGGGTGTGTGAGAAACTCCGTGAGGCGGACGAGAAGGGCAGGAGGTACGGACTAGCCCGGGCGGAGACAGGCTACCTCCGTGCCCTGGTGGACGCCATGGCCGACACGGACAGGCTGGCGGAAGTGGAGCTGCTCAAAACTCTGGGCGACGTGAACGTGGAGAAGGGAAGACTCGGGAAGGATGTGGGGAAGTTCAAAGCAGCCTTGGCTCTTTACATTGCTGCTATGGTACGGTGTTACCATGAAGAACAGGCAGATGGTATAGAACACCGCTACCACTACACGGAGAGACTTTTACAAGGGCTGTCGTCACAGGGTAAGGGACAGTCAACTGAAGACAAGGAGACGACTACACCTGCAAAGGTAGCGGCAATGTTTCAAGCCCTGGACAAGAGACGGGCTACCGGAGGTCACACAGACTCTTTGCTTATTGGATACGCACAGGTGATGGTAGAGGCGATAGTAAACGACAACAGCATGTTAGAAACAGAAGCGACCAAGAGTATGGGTGACGTGTACCTGAAAAGAGGAACAGAAACTGGAGACACTAGAAATTTGACCAGAGCTACTGCTCTGTACAACAGGGCACTGGCGCGGTGTCACAACGTTCATGGAACAGTTGTCATTGTTCACCGCTTACTGCACACCGCAAAAATCAGACAAGATATCGCCAGAGGAAACAAGGTGAGAGAACTATTTTGATTTGAGCATGACGAAACTTGGCAGTGCTGACTTCCGGGTTCCCACTTGGTTTGCTTAGCTCCATAAATCCAGTCATGCATATCGTGCCGCTAAGCGTAAAGCGTATCGTGTCGCTTAAGGTCATGGGCTTTTTCTTGCGCTAGAATGATACCAACTTCTTATTGATTTATCAACGTTATTGCTTAAACGTCATTGCTGAACAAAAATATGGTTTATGCGTTTGCACTAAATTTTTGACGACAGAATAGTATAAAAAGCTATGAAGATGTATGCATTTTGGTCCGTGGGTCTGTGTGTGTAACGTTACATATTGACAATATTATGTCGCCCTTGTAGTTAGATGCTGTCCAAATAAACAACAAATCATCACATTTTATATTCCCGTGTAAATACTCCGTATTTAACATAGACCCAGTTTGCTTTCCAGGGGTCATGACAGGCCGTTAACCTTTGACCTTTGGTGAAAGTTCTTTTATGGTTTACATGGCATGACATAATCATACATAACTTTACTGCTTCCTATGGTTCTTGCAGAGGTCAACACGTACGCAAAAACAACAAGACGTGAGAGGACGGAAGGGCCACCTCTCTGTCTTCTCAGCTGCGCCCTCTAGCGACGGAACCACCAGTCAAGTTGAAAACGACATGTTAGTGCTGTTATGTTTACTTGTGTGAGGTAGTGGAGTTGATTATTTCAAATCAAAATACCTGTAAAACACGAACAAGGGGCCATTTAGTATCTTGCTGGACAGAAACGTATTATCAATTTCTGCGTTGTTTAACGTTGCTTTGTGACATTGTTAAAAAGACCACGTTGTTCAATTTTCTGCGTAGTCTATTGAACAGTATGTCAAACACTTTGTAGTGCATTTGATGCCCATGTGAAGTATTGGTACGTTTATTTGTTTCAAAATAAAGTTTCTTTCGCTGTTCAGAACCTACCGCAGGTACATCCAGACGGCAGACCGCGACTTGGGAAATGGAGAACTGGACGCAGCAGAGGCGAACCTAGCAGCCGCCTTGAAGCTTGTTCACGGTCTGTTTAAACTTTAAATAATATAATCTTTCTTACGTCTTCCCTTAATTTTTCATTGGCAGTTCCATTAACTTATTTTCCTCTCTAATGGGATACTCGGTTTTGTATAAAACAAAAAATAATAATAAGCGCACGACTTTGCTTCTATATGATCTGTTTAAATTCCAACCTACAGATCGCAGTAAACCCAACAAGGCTAAAGAAGCCGACTGTCTGTGCAGGTTGGGTGACGTCTACGTCGAGCGAGGTAAGCGGACAGGAGAAGGTAGGAAATTCACACAGGCGGCAGCTCTGTATAACGCCTCCATGGCAAGAACAGATGGAGACAAACAAAACATGGTATCAAAACTGCAAGAAACAGAAAGGCAGTTTCTTAGAAACACCTGTAACCTTGACTGTGAACCGTGTCCGTATAGCAGCGCGTTAGATCACAGAAAGGAACTGGACAACTCGCGCGTCCGTGCAAAATCTCAGCTCGAAACAATTCATCAGGAACACAACCCTTATCAGTATGATGAAGACGATCCCGTCGTGAGAGAGGTAGAGATCAAACGAGCTGAAGCAATCAAGAACTTGTTCAAGAGTATCACAGTTGAAAGACGAGAGTTTATCCAAGTACTGACAGATGAATGCATTGCCAAACTGGGACCTCCTCCCTGTAAGTACGCTTTCATGGGCATGGGGTCACAGGCCACAGAACTGGTGACGCCGTACTCCGACCTGGAGTTCGCCATTCTGATTGAGGAGGGGAAGGATTATGATGATACACGGAGGTACTTCCTAAATCTCACACACTACTTACATCTAAAAGTCATCAACCTTGGGGAAACCATCCTCCCAGCCATGGCCATCCCGTCACTCAACGACTTTCTCTCAGAAGACCCAGAGAAAGACTGGTTCTACGACTCCGTCACACCTCGTGGCTTCGCCTTCGATGGCTTCATGCCATGGGCCTCTAAGACTCCGTTTGGAAGAGACCAAACCAAAAGCAAACCTCCCGTTAGTCTCATCCAGACTCCTGCCAAGTTGGCCGAATATCAGCATCTGCACATCGCCCTGGCGGAAGGCTATCACCTGTCAGACATCCTCAGACGGGTGACCTACTTAACAGGAGATGAGTCTTTGGTAGATAAGTACACACGCATTGTCAACAAAAGTGTAGACCGTTCTCCTGTTCTATCACGGTTGTCAGCAATGCTAATACTAAAGGATAACTTTCAAGAAATAAAAAACGTTGAACCAACCGACCAACTTCTGAATGTGAAGAAGGAAATTTACCGTTTTCCTAGCGTGGCCGTTGAAGTGTTGAGTATTTGCTTTGGTATCACGATCCCCAGTGTGTGGGGAATGATAGAAGAGTTACACAAGACACAGCGGATCAGTGACGAAGATGCCCACCACTTGACTGTACTGATCAGCATCTCAGCGGAGCTACGGTTAAGAACGTACATTGCAAACGGAGGACAGAAGGACAGACTGTCTCCTCTCCCGAAGATGAAAGTCCAGCTGGACAAACATGACGTAGATGACACAATCGTTGAGTCAGTTTTCCACATACCAGACTCTAAAATGTTGTTCAGGTACTACTATACAGCCATCCCATTTAAAAAATGCATTGTGGATACAATTACAAAGGTAAGTCCAACGATAAAGATATTCCAAACGGCTGTCTTTGACAACTCATCTCTAACCAGGGGTCGAATAGCACAAGAGCTGTTACAGTTAGACGTATCCGAACGTCACTTAGAGGCAGCACTGAAAGAGGCGGGTGGTGACGATCGCGAGAAACAACAGTTTGACATAATTTTTGAATTAGTAAAAGTCTCGCAAATGCGAGGTGACTATAAGAAAGCAATCAGCTACTACGAAGGGTCACTCAGAGTTAGAAATACTATTTATGCAGGCGACATGCGTCGCGTATTTGCCGCGTTACTCATAAACGTTGGATCCTGTTGGTGCGGCCTTGGTGATCACGGGAAAGCTATCAGTTATTACGAACAGTCACTGAAGATGATGAAAGCTATCTATGGTGAAACAACGCCACATCCCGATATTGCTCAATCACTAGACAACATTGGGAACTGTTGGAATGACCTTGGTGATCAGAGAAAAGCTATCAATTATAATGAACAGTCTCTGAAGATGAGGAAAGCTATCTATGGCGAAACAACGCCACATCCCGACATTGCTAAATCACTAAACAACATTGGGAACTGTTTGAGGAGCCTTGGTGACCTGAGGAAAGCTCTCAGTTATCACGAACAGTCACTGAAGATGAGGAAAGCTATCTATGGCGAAACAACGCCACATCCCCACATTGCTGGATCACTAAACAACATTGGGGCATGCTGGAGTGAACTTGGTGACCTGAGGAAAGCTGTCATTTATCACGAACAGTCACTGAAGATGAAGAAAGCTATCTATGGTGAAACAACACCACATCCCGACATTGCTTCATCACTACAGAACATCGGGTACTGTTGGAGTGGCCTTGGTGATCAGAGAAAAGCTATCAGTTATTATGAACAGTCACTTAAGATGAGGAAAGCTATCTATGGCAAACGAACGCCACATCCCGACATTGCTAAATCACTAAACAACATTGGGGTATGTTGGAGGGGCCTTGGTGACCTGAGGAATGCTGTCAGTTATCACGAACAGTCACTGAAGATGAGGAAAGCTATCTATGGTGAAACAACGCCACATCCCGGCATTGCTGGATCACTAAACAACATTGGGGTATGCTGGAGTGACCTTGGTGACCTGAGGAAAGCTGTCAGGTATTACGAACAGTCACTAAAGATGAAGAAAGCTATCTATGGTGAAACAACACCACATCCCGACATTGCTTCATCACTAAACAACATCGGGTACTGTTGGAGTGGCCTTGGTGATCAGAGAAAAGCTATCAGTTATCATGAATGGTCACTAAAGATGAGGAAAGCTATCTATGGCGAAACAACGCCACATCCCGACGTTGCTGAATCACTAAACAACATTGGAACGTGTTGGAATGACCTTGGTGACCAGCGAAAAGCTATCGATTATAATGAACAGTCACTAAAGATGAAGAAAATAATGTATGGTGACACAACACCACATCCTGATATTGCGTCATCACTAAACAACATTGGGGCATGCTGGAGTGACCTTGGTGATCAGAGAAAAGCTATCATTTATTATGAACAGTCACTGAAGATGATGAAAGCTATCTATGGCGAAACAACGCCACATCCCCACATTGCGTCATCACTAAACAACATTGGGGCATGCTGGAGTGACCTTGGTGATAAGGAGAAAGCTACCAGTTATCACGAACAGTCCCTGAAGATGAGGAAAGCTATCTATGGCGAAACAACGCCACATCCCGACGTTGCTGAATCACTAAACAACATTGGCGCATGTTGGAGTGACCTTGGTGATCAGAGGAAAGCTATCACTTATTACGAACAGTCACTGAAGATGGAGAAAGCTATCTATGGTGAAACAATGCCACATCCCGACATTGCTTTATCACTACACAACATTGGGACATGTTGGCACAAACTCGTTGATCACAGAAAAGCCCTGACGTATTACGAACAATCTTTGAATATGATGAAACTTTTCTATGGGGACAACCCAGCACATCCCAAAATAGCAAAAGCACTGAACGACATTCGGTCATGTAAAAGTGCCCTCCGCGAGTAGAGTAAAGCCGTTATTAGTTGTCGCAAATCGTCACTCAAGATTAGCTAACTATGGGGACACTACTGCACATCTCCAATCTGCCATATGTCATTACATAGATATCTTGATCACAAATTGCATACTATGTAAGTATGGCAGCTTCTATTACATGTATTAATGTACTTTTCAAGTATTTAATGTATCAATGTACTTTGCAAGACTATTTATTGCGTAGGGAGACTAATAGATATACTTGTAGTCTTTGGTGGAATTTCTTGCACTCATTGTAAGTAGGAAGCCATTTGGACAATTCCTTTGTGCCTTTTATCTAGAATCAGGGATTAGCATGACAATGAATAAAGGAAACAAAGTCATACATGTATATGAGTTCCGGGTAAGCTCAATGAAATGAGTGAGTGAATGAGTGAGTGAGTGAATGAGAGAGTGAATGAGTAAGTGAATGAGTGAGTGAGTGAGTGAATGAATGAGGGAGTGAATGAGTGAGTGAGTGTGTGAGTGAGTGAGTGAGTGAGTGAGTGAGAGAGTGTGTGAGTGAGTGAGAGAGTGAGTGAGAGTGAGTGAGAGAGTGAGTGCGTGAGAGAGTGAGTGAGCGACGCAGGAAGGTCAGTAAAGAAACAAAGAAATAGTGTTTATTATCTTTGTGTAAATAGGTTTAAGTCTTACAGCTATACGGCAACCCCTACGGCTTACAGCTACGAGACTGAGTGGGTGAGTGGGTAGGTGAGTGAGTGAGAGAGTGAGAGAGTGACTGGGTGAGTGAGTGGGTGAGTGAGTGAGAGAGTGAGTGAGTGGGTGAGTGATTGAGTGAGTGAGTGAGTGAGTGAATGAGTGAGTGAGTGAGTGAGTGAATGAGTGAGTGAGTGAATGAGGGAGTGAGTGAGTGAGTGAGTGAGTGAGAGAGAGTGGTGAGTGAGTGAGTGAGAGAGTGAGTGAGTGAGCGAGAGAGTGAATGAGTGAGTGAGTGGGTGGGTGAGTGAGTGAGAGAGTGAGAGAGAGTGAGTGAGTGTGTGAGTGATAGAGTGAGTGAGTGATAGAGTGAGTGAGTGAGTGAGTGAGTGTGTGAGTGAGAGAGTGAGTGAGTGAGTGAGTGAGTGAGTGAGTGAGTGATTGAGTGAACAGAACTTATGGATGATGAAAGATGTGGATTATCAGCATCACGATGGTATTGAATGAGCCGGTGATTCTCGCCATGACAACAACAGCGACGGTAAGAAGTCAGGTTCATTGCAACAGAACAAAACGATCAAAAAGATGTTTGTTTTTAAGGCCATGTTGATTTGATTATATGGATGACATCCGCGCGCGCATGAATTTTCGGCCGTTTCAAAAAAAAAAAGTTTTCAACCATACTGTAAATCGTACAAAACAGTTGCAAAATGAGCAAATATATACCGTAAGTTACAAAAAAAACCATACCAATTGTCGTAGAATGCCAAAATTAAACGAAAAAAGACGAAATTGTAAAGAAATGAACTTGAAGACTAGATTATTCGCCAAACCATATTCCGTCCCATTTGTTCAACCCTCATGACCACGTAGATTTCATAATGAAAACAACTTTTTTTTTTGCAAAACTTTTTTTTTATTCGCACGCGCGCATCAATTTTGGGGTTCCCGGAGGATGTCATCCATATAATCAAATCAAGATGGCCTAATGTGGTGATACCTATCTACTGGACTAATGGTATGTACAATTGAGCAAACAGGACACAGGATGATGGTGTACCCCCCCCCCCCCTCGACACACAATACGCTATTTCTAGTGTCTATTGAGGACTGTTGAGGACCAATAAATGCCGTATCTGCCGTGACTCGTGACGAATCTTTTCATTACCACATACAGCAGAAGTAAAATCTTGAGCAACCAGAATACAGGGTGATGGTTGACAGGTTGTACCCCCTCCACACACAATACGCTATATCTACATACATACATGTATCAGTCACACCCATTTGTTTTTTTTTTTTTTGTAACTAATGTGGTGATACCTATCTACTTAAGTACTGGTATGTACAATTGAGCAAACAGAATACAGGATGATGGTTGTAGCCCCCCCCCCTTCCACACACAATACGCTATATCTACATACATATCAACCACACCCATAGTTGTCTATTGGGGAATGTTGAGGACTAATATATATATATATATAACTGCCGCATCTAATGTGATTCGTGAGGAATCTTTTCATTACCACATACAGCAGAAGTAAAATCTTGAGCAAACAGAATACAGGATGATGGTTGACAGGTTGTAGTCCCTCCACACACAATACGCTATATCTACATACATATCGGCCACACCCATAGTTGTCTATTGCGGAATGCTGAGGACTAATAACTGCCGCATCTGCCGTGAGTCGTGCCGATCTAGAAGTGGCTATACTGTGTTGCAGCGCCATCTAGCAGGTACCTGCGGAATAACATGATCAGCACCAAGGACAGCACCAGCCTTACCCTTATGTGCGTTCTTACCCGCAGACAATGATGACGTGATAGTCCTTGTGTTTCCACAATATTTTCATTACCACATGTAGCAGAGGTAAAGTGTTTCGGGTGTGTGAAAAACTCCGTAAGGCGAACGCCAAGGGCAGGAGGTACGGACTAGCCCTTGCGGAGACTGGCTATCGGACTGCACAGTACATAATAATAGAGTAGAGTAGACCTTTCGGCGAATAGGGAATTCTTGTGTTTAGTTGGGGTCACTCACCACACCAATGTACTGTAATTCCCGATTGTACAAATAAGGCCTAAGGTATACCAGCGGGGTTTCCCGAACACGAGACCACATAAAAGACCCAACATGGTAAAAAGATCTTATCAAAGACGACACTGGACCTAATTTAAGCACCTAAATACGCAGTGGTGGCGACGAAAAACCAGGCTACCTGGGAGACTGCGTTAAACATATGCATGAAAGAGGCCCTGGCCTGAACACTTTTAAAAGGCATAGGCACGTACGCAGGTTACCTGATATGTTTACGGACACGGGTATTTCCGAACCTTTTGTGTATTGAACCTTTGACCTTTGTATTGGCGGATGACGTAATGTTGACACAAGCAGTGTGAAACCTGTGCCTGTTCAAGTCAGATGCATAATGTTAACACGGAGACCGTGAAGACAAGGAGTTTTAGGGACATTTTGTAGCAGAAAGTCAGCATGTTGCGGGTGTGTGAGAAACTCCGTGAGGCGGACGAGAAGGGCAGGAGGTACGGACTAGCCCGGGCGGAGACAGGCTACCTCCGTGCCCTGGTGGACGCCATGGCCGACACGGACAGGCTGGCTGAAGTGGAGCTGCTCAAAACTCTGGGCGACGTGAACGTGGAGAAGGGAAGACTCGGGAAGGAGGTGGGGAAGTTCAACACAGCCTTGGCGCTTTACATTGCTGCTATGGTGCGGTGTTACCATGAAGAACAGGCAGATGGTATAGAACACCGCTACTACTACACAGAGAGGCTTTTACAAGGGCTGTCGTCACAGGGTAAAGAACAGCCAACTGAAGACAAGGAGACGACTACACCAGCAAAGGTAGCGGCAAAGTTCCAAGATCTGGACAAGAGACTGGCTACCGGAGGAAACACAGACCCTTTGCTGGTTGGATACGCACAGGTTATGGTAGAGGCGATAGTAAAAGACGACAGCATGTTAGAATCAGAAGCGATCAAGAGTCTGGGTGACGTGTACCTGAAAAGAGGAACAGAAACTGGAGACACTAGAAACTTGACCAGAGCTACTGCTCTGTACAACAGGGCACTGGCGCGGTGTCACAACGTTCATGGAACAGTTGTCATTGTTCACCGCTTACTGCACACTGCAAAAATCAGGCAAGACACCACCAAACCAAGAAACAAGGTGAGTAAATTAAGAAATATTTTGTAGAAACACGGAAGTAGTGTTTGAGTATTGTCTTCATGAGCTCAATACTAATGTCTTTTATTATTATGTGCTAATGTGATGTTCTTAAATTCTCAGAAGTCGTTGTTAATATTATGCATTATATACTTCACAGAGGTTTTAAATCTTTGAAGAGATTTCTTATTTTGTTTTTTTTGTTGATTTGAACCATTCTTTATTCATGAAAGCTCAAATCTGCTTGCAAAACCGCTTATTATTGAGGTCATGAGGGAAGAGGTGAGGGCCAGACAAAATATATCAACAAGATAAAGTTTACATCATTCAAATTCCTACTAAAACCGTACACACGTTCACATGTAGTCCATGATGACCAAATCATCTATAGCTGTTGTCACAACATCTTAAAACGTGTACTTTGGCTTGGCTTCCCAGGGGTCACCTCGGGACATTAACCTTTGACCACTCGTCTAAGTTCAGTTGTGAGTAGAATGGTACGTTTGCTCATAGCCTCCTGTGCAGGCCCTGCGGCGGTGTGAAAGAGTTTTTAACCCGTTATTTTAATATAGCCGGCCATCCTACATAGCTGCCGAGAGAAGGTTCCATTCCGCCCAAGAATGGAACATTCGATTTGATTTATTAGGCTGAATATGACATATGTATACAGCCAGGACTGCCCGACTAGCCGGAGGCTATTATAAAGGGCTAGCCCTCACAACAAGAACTTAAAACAATTCGGAACAGGTAGGAACCTTCTCTCCGCGGCTATGTAGGATGGCTGCAGCTGGCTATATTAAAATAACGTGTTAAAAACTCTTCCCCGCCGCCGCGGGGCCTGCACAGGAGGCTAGTTTGCTCACCAGTTAATGATTCATGACTTCCTGTCGGTTCACGTAGTGGACAACACGTACGCAACGGCAACACGACGTGGGGGGACGGAAGGGCCACGTCTCAGCTGCGCCATCTAGCGACGACGTTAATAACGCAATGCGCAGTCTACATATGTAAGTACAAGGGTGGTTTGGATGGATGGATGGAGGGATGGGTGGATGGATGGATGGATGGATGGATGGATGGATGCATGCATGCATGGATGGATGCATGGATGGATGGATGCATGGATAGATGGATGGATGGAAGGATGGATGGATGGATGGATAAATGGATGGATGGATGGATGGATAGATGGATGGATAGATAGATAGATGAATAGATGGATGAATGAATGAATGCATGGATAGATGCATGGATGGATGGATGGATGGATGGATAGATAGATAGATGAATGGATGAATGAATGAATGCATGGATGGATAGATGGATGGATGGATGGATGGGTGGATGGACGAAAAAATTAGATACACAGGGATGTTCGTCCCAAAAGGTATATACTCACTTACATTCCTTGTAATAGCATTCAACAAACATTACGTTATTTTTCACAGCTCTTCGGAACTTCGTAGAGAATTCCAGAATGCAGAAACAGCCAGAAAAGCTAACAAAGAAATGTGAGTATTCTTCATATGGTTACACCTGTTGTTGATTGTTTCAAATCGTACTAACTCTGTAATGAGTTAGTACTCCGTAGTATTCCGTATAATGAAATGTAGCACAATATCACACATAAGTTTTTCATAAAGGAATGCTAATAATCAATTAATCAAAATTACATAAAAAATATTGCCATATATTTATTTCACAATTCAGTTACTAGTATGTAGAACAGCAATTTGTGACTATTACTGGCATACAATTCATTTCTAGTCCAGCGGCATAGCTGGCAAAATCGTACAACACTTTTTGTGTATTTGTCACCCTTGTGAACTGATGTTTGTTCAAAACTTATTTCCCTGTTTAGATCCTACCGCAGGTACATCCAGACGGCAGACCGTGACGTGAGAAATGGAGACCTGGACGCAGCAGAGCAGAACCTGGCAGCCGCCCTGAAGCTGGTTCACGGTCTGTTATACACTTTTTATACTTGTAATTTCTTCTGGGACGAAAGTATTGTTTTGGGCAGTGCCGGTTTAAGGGAAGTTTGTGTTTATCTTGTCATGAGCAAGGATTGAAAGTGGGTGGAGATTGGGTTTCAGTTGGTTGACAGGGTTGTGACCCAGCATGTTTTGGATGATACAGTTATATGAGGTCACCAGGAACGTGTATTCGTAGTATGAAACATAAACAATAGTGAAATACCGGATTAAGTTACGTCATACAATCGTATAATGTATAATAGATTCTATGATGTAGTTGCATTTCTATATTTCCCCATGATTAACCAATACACTAGCAATACAACTAACAAATCATAACATTCACAGGAAGAACTAAATCTCCGATTTGCCATTTCCTTTTTTTATTTTGATTGGAATTTCTTTTTTTTTTTAATTTTAATACCTACAGATCGCATTAAGCCCAACAAGGCAAAGGAAGCCGACTGTCTGTGCAGGTTGGGGGACGTCTACATCGAGCGAGGCAAGCGGACAGGAGAAGGTAGGAAATTCACACAGGCGGCAGCTCTGTATAACGCCTCGATGGCACGGTCAAATGGAGACAAACAAAACATGGTACCAAGACTGCAAGAAACAGAAAGGCAGTTTCTTAGAAACACCTGTAAACTTAACTGTGAACCGTGTCCGTATAGCAGCGCGTTAGATCACAGAAAGGAACTGGACAACTTGCGCGCACGTGCAAAATCTCAGCTCGAAACAATTCATCAGGAACACAACCCTTATCAGTATGATGAAGACGATCCCGTCGTGAGAGAGGTAGAGATCAAACGAGCTGAAGCAATCAAGAACTTGTTCAAGAGTATCACAGTTGAAAGACAAGAGTTTATCCAAGTACTGACGGATGAATGCATCGCCAAACTCGGACCTCCTCACTGTAAGTACGCTTTCATGGGGTTGGGTTCACAGGCCACAGAACTGGTGACGCCGTACTCCGACCTGGAGTTCGCCATTCTGATTGAGGAGGGGAAGGGTGATGATGATACACTGAGGTATTTCCTAAATCTCACACACTACTTACATCTAAAAGTCATCAACCTTGGGGAAACCATTCTCCCAGCCATGGCCATCCCGTCACTCAACGACTTTCTCTCAGAAGACCCAGAGAAAGACTGGTTCTACGACTCCATCACACCTCGCGGCTTCGCCTTCGATGGCTTCATGCCATGGGCTTCTAAGACTCCGTTTGGAAGAGACCAAACCAAAAACAAACCTCCAGTTGGTCTCATCCAGACTCCTGCCAAGTTGGCCGAATATCAGCATCTGGAAATCGCGCTGGCGGAAGGCTATCACCTGTCAGACATCCTCAGACGGGTGACCTACTTAACAGGGGACGAGTCTTTGGTGGATGAGTATACAAGCATTGTCAACAAAAGCGTAGACCGTTCCCCTGTTCTTTCACGGTTGTCAGCAATGCTGATACTGAAGGATAACATTCGGGAAATAAAAAACGTTGAACCAACCGGACAGCTTCTGGACGTGAAGAAAGAAATCTACCGTTTTCCCAGCGTGGCCGTTGATGTGTTGAGTATTTGTTGCGGCGTTACGATCCCCAGTGTGTGGGGAATGATAGAAGAGTTACACAAGACACAGCGGATCAGTGACGAAGATGCCCACCACTTGACTGTACTGATCAGCATCTCAGCGGAGCTACGGTTAAGAACGTATATTGCCAACGGAGGACAGAAGGACAGACTGTCTCCTCTCACGGAGATGAAAGTCCAGCTGGACAAACATGACATAGATGACACGGTCGTTGAGACAGTTTTTCACATACCAGACTCAAAAATGTTGTTCAGGTACTACTATACTGCCATTCCATTAAAAATGCGTATTATGGATACAATTCAAAAGGAAAATCAAACCAAAAATATATTCAAAACATCCATCTTTGACAACTCATCTCAAACCAGAGGTCGAATAACACAAGAGTTGTTGCAGTTAGATGCATCCGTACGTTACTTTGAGGCAGCACTGAAAGAGGCGGGTGGTGACGAGGAAAAAAAGTTTGACATAGTTTTAGCGCTAGGTAATGTCACTTACAGGCGCGGTGACTATGACACAGCGATCAGCTACGTCAAACAGGCACTTAGCATTGGAAATACTATTCATGCAGGCACCGAAATGCGTATCGTATTTTCCTCATTACTGGTAAACATTGGGACATGTTGGAGCGGTCTTGGCAATCAGAGGAAAGCTATCAGTTATTTCGAACAATCACTGGAGATGAAAAAAGCTATCTATGGCGAAACAACGCCACATCCCGACATTGCTACATTACTAAACAACATTGGGACATGTTGGAGTGACCTTGGTGATCAGAGGAAAGCTATCAGTTATCACGAACAGTCGCTGAAGATGAGGAAAGCTATCTATGGGGAAACAACGCCACATCCCGAAATTGCTTCATCACTAAACAACATTGGGTCCTGCTGGGGCAACGTTGGTGACCAGAGGAAAGCTATCAGTTATCACGAACAGTCACTGAAGATGAAGAAAGCTATCTATGGCGAAACAACGCCACACCCCGACATTGCTTCATCACTTTCTAACATTGGGGTATGTTGGAAACAACTCGGTGACCACAGTAAAGCCATGAAGTATTACCAACAGTCTTTGAATATGATGAAAGTTATCTACGGGGACAAATCTGCACATCCCAACATGGCAAAAGTACTGAACAACATTAGATTATGCAGAAATGCCCTCCAACAGTAGAGTAAAGCAGTTATCAGTCATCCCCAAATCGTCACTCAGGATTAGCTAACTATGGAGACACTACTGAACACATTCAATCTGCCTTGCCATATCATGTCATTACATAGCTATCTTGGTCACAAATTGCTTACTATGTAAGTATGGCAGCTTCTATTACATAACAAGGGAACTAATGTACTTTGCAAGACTATGTATTGCATAGGGAGACTATATACTTGTAGTCTTTTGTGGAATATCTTGCACTCATTGTAAGTAGGCGGCCATTTGGACAATATTCCTTTATATTCTATATCTAGAATTATGGATACGCACGACTGTATTTATATTGCATTATTGTGCTTTTAACGTGTGGTAATTATTAATGCAAACTTGATATGCAACGAATTGGTATTTATCAAATGTAACGAACTTTTATCAAATAGCTGTACTATCAGCGCATTTTATGTTTTAAAGCCTTCTCAATTCAGCCAAATATGGCTGCTTACAGGCTTTTGTGTGTACGTACATAGTACAAATAAACCAGTCTCTCTCTCTTTCTCTCTCTCTCTCAACAATGAATAAAGGAAACAAAGTCATACATGTATATGACTTCCGAGAAAGTTCAATGAAATGAGTGGCTGAATGAGTGAATGAGTGTGAATGAATGAATGAATTAACAGAAGTACTGGTGAATGAAAGATGCAGATGATCAGCATGGTGAACATCTTTCATCCACCATAACTTCTATTCATTCATTTACCCATTCACTCACTCACTCACTCACTCATTCACTTACTCATTTTATTCAGCTTATTCGGAACTCATATACATGTATGACTAACACCTAAAGTTATACTTATGAATGGATCTTTAAGGGGTTTTCTGTATCATGGCCTTGTGTTTTGGGATGATTCTTTGGGAAGATCTCTAAAATTGCAGATTACAAGTATGCAAAGGCAAATGCAAGGAGGGTGGAGGATTCCATCTCCAAGTACTTTTCTAATTTTGCAGTGGGGTCGTGGGGGGCAACTGCTGTGTTCGCGACTCGGAATTAAGAGGTCTCGGGTTCAAATCCTGACATGCCACCTGTCTTGCGCCCTTGGGAAAGGCACTTTATACGACTTTCCCCACTAGACTTAAGTGAAAATGAGTTTTGTTTGTCCAGTATTCGTTTCTATGTGCGGGACACAACACCAGCAACAGCTGCCTATGTTCCGCGTGTATTGCACTGTTGCAATTTCAATGAATCAAATCAAAAATTAATTTGCAAAAGATACGCAAGAACCTTTTCGACATTAATCTTCAAGAGGCCTGAAACGACTTGTGACGTTAAGTTTCCTTTTACTTTATGAACAAATGTAAAAGCAACAACAGCAATTAAGTGAAGGGTTCCTCTTCTTTACAATATCCTTACATGTTTCACAGTACAATGTTAGACAAACTGTAGAGTTCACGTCACAATGTGCACTTAATGCCACTCAGGGGCAGGTTACAAAGTACGATCGCACAATTGAAGTCACTCTGAACAACAGCAATCATTAAGTGAAGGGTTTCCCTTCTTTACAATATCTTTACAGGTTTTACAGTACAATGTTAGGCAATCTGTAGATTTCACGTCACAATGTGCAGTTAGTGTCGCTCAGGGGCAGGTCACATACTGTAATTCCCTTTATGTTCACGGTAGCAAAAGTTGGTCTGAGAAAAATGTGGACATGTTCACGGAACTATATATTCACGGTGGCCACAGGTGCAGGAAAAAGAACATGAAGATTCAGGAATTATTGACTGTAATGATGAGTTCACGGTACAGAAGTGACAATGAAAACAGTGAACATAACTACAGTACAATGAAAAATCAGGAATTACACTAGTACGATCGCAAATTGAAGTCATTCTTGGGATAGTTCTGAAACAGAAATCCTGAAAAATGCAGTCTCATGTTGGAAAAATCTGCCTTCAATCCTTGTCTGCAGTTGGTTCTGTCACGGCTTGCCTGAAAATGCTGCAACATCAAAATTGGGCGACGAACTATGACAAAAGTGACCGCACTGTAAGACACAAAGTTCTGCAATCTGTCACTATTGTATCCAGAATGATATAGTCTGATTGGCACAATTTTCTAACATTCTTTAAGAAACAGTGACATCAAAATTTACTTCCTCGACATACATTTGTACACATTGCAGTGGTTGAATGATATGTAGGCAAAAGATTCACTATAATTGTGTCAATGGTTCTACAACCAGACATGTAGAGAGCTTAAAATACTGGCCTTTTTTAGAATGAAATTGCATCATGTTGACAGACAGTGAACTCCTATCACTTAGCAGACTTCTTGCTTATGATAAGTGCCAGTTTATCATTTTGAAGATTGTAGAATCTTGCCATATTCTTAGATATGTTTGAATATAAACAAGAAAAACTGAATATGGCAAGAGTGAGAAGAGCTTAACCTTTTCCATGCTACCAACCCTGTATCCAATACAGAATTGGTGGCCAAAAGGCTACTTCATTGTACAAAAGGTAACTTAAGACATCAAAGAAATGAAAGGTAAATGTCTGTAAATAATTTCATCATGTTGGTGAATGACTGAATGGCAACCACTTGTTTTGATGGCCATCTGTCATCTTCTTCAGGACAATTATGACTAGTTCACTGTGCACTGAAGCTAGATGTTACTGCTCACGCTTTATGTTTGGGGCCACATCGGGAGCAGTAACACCCAGCTTCAGTGCACTGCAAACCAGTCATAATTGCCTTGATGAAGATGACAGTCATCGAAACGTCGGCTCTTGTTAACCAAATGGTTTTGAGTAAAGAACGTTGCCATTTGAAATGCCAATGTGTTGTTCTACAGATGAGTTTACGTGAGTGGGCCCATCCCCCGGGCCATCTTTCTGTCCGCCATGGCTCGCCGGTTGTGATTGGCCCGAGAGGACTTGTTCTTCTCCTTCTGTCTCCTGCTCTGAGCCGTCTCCTTGGTTTGACCTTGACCTTTGGCCTGACCTTTCAGGATCTCCTGTTGGTTTCTGTTTTGTCCCCTGTTAAAAGACAACCAATAGCAAGGTTATGGGTGGCAACCATATGCACCATATTCATGTTAAGTCTACAGAACAGTTTTGTTGAAGGGGGTTAAGATTCTAGACACCAAACAAGACCACTTGACTTTGTGAGGTACAATGGAGGCCATCTACATCAGGGCGCACTCAACAGATATCGG